GGTTACCACCACTGAAACTGTTAATTTCTCTGTCTGCTCTCTGCCTCACTCCAGAATACCCTGAAGGACAAGGTTAACCCATCATTTTTTGCTCCTGAAAAACCAGAACCACTGTTGCATGTATAATGCAAACAATGTGCATTGAGTGTCCAGTAAATCCAGCTTTTCTAGGAAACCTTAGATTTACTGAAGAGAACCCCTGTGTTGTCCATACACCAGAGATTTAAGCTACTCAGAGGAGGAGCCAAAGCTCAGAGCCCTTTCATACAAATACATCTTCCCAGACCAAAAGCTGTAACGTCATTGGTCAACAGTAGAAGTTTTTTAAAGAAAATTCTTGCTCTTTGAGATGTTTTGCTGTCATGAGGAGAAAAGAAATCAAGAAACTGTTTAATTTTCATGCAATTTGTTAAATAAAGAGAAATTGTGTCTATTACTAGCATAAAACGTGATTATGTTCATGCAAAGTGATGAAATGTTGGAAAGGACACTGTGATTCTGAAGTCAGACTGCAATCTAATTGCTAACGTAATTCTAGAAGAAATTAAAGATATTACTGAAGTGATTTCCCATCTGGAAAAGTCTGTGGGAAGCCAGAATTCCCTGCCTCTTACAACAGCTAAGGAACTTTTTAAAGAGGGAATTTTCTCAGGTGATGGGACAACGATGGTAGACAGGACTTGAAATTCTCCCTTCTGGTCTATCTGGTTCAAATCAAAGACCTGACCTTAAAGCTTTATTTTCTTAGATGAAAAAGAGCCACAGAAGGAGGGTGGAAATTGCCCTAAGCTACATGTGGGAGCTGTGGGATCATGTCACAGGTAGATGGGGAAGGAAAGAGGCCATGGTAACAAAGGCACAGCATGTCTCTCTTCTCTAGGTTAGCAGTGATTAGTTATGCAAAGTGGAGCAATTCCCACAAGAAGCTGGAGAGGCCAGGGGGAGCCTGGCTGCTGGAGGGGGCTTATAATCCAATCTCTTTGTGCTGTCTCTCTCTGCCTTTTTTATTTTAATCAAATGTTTTGTTTCTGTTGAAATTGGTACAGACATCCCTTGAAAATGGCTCCATTGTGAAAGATTCTCATTTTCCTGCCAAAAGTCATTTTAGTGGGACATTCTGGAAAATCCTTTTGTTTGCTGGCAGTCCCTCCTTGTGGAAGACCAGCTGCTCGTTTCTGGTAGCAGAGCAGGTATGAATTCCTCAAGGGCAATACACTGTCAAGCCTGGCCAAAAGCAAGTGCAAAAGCCTAGGGAAGCCACGGGGAAGGATTGCCCAGATTTAAAGACAGAGATTATTTTTGTCTGCAGCAGTGTCTGGTTTTGCCTAGGAAACGACTCATGACCTTGTGGCAGTGTGCAGGGCAGTGCTCCTTCTGCTAAGAACATTTCTGGCCATGCTGGGCTCCATCACATCAGCCTGTGGTGCTACTCTGGGCTTCTGCTGCAATTCAGGAGCTTCTGACTGACACCCAATTCAGCCAGTTCTCTAGAAGAGGCTGTGAGAAACACACCTGGGCAGAGTGGCCTCATGGGGACACAGATGGTTGATGTCATCTGTCAGGAAATCAGTCAATAATGTACAAAACTCTGAGTACTGCAGGCTTATTGGCAGGGGTTTCAGATACAGACATCATACAGGCACCAATAAGCCTATGACACCTAATGAGGCAATTTTCTCACCAGGGGCTGTTTTGTTCCTTTTATCTAGTGTCTCTTTTCCTGGCTGCTCTTCACTTCCCTCTTCCCTCCCCTCTCTTTAGTCAAAATAAGCAGAATTAATTTCTTTCCTTTAATATAGATGTTGGTTGTCTTGGGAAAAACCTACTTCATCTGTCTAGGTAATGAGCCCCCTGTTAAGAGCTATGGTATTTTTAGGAGTTGCTTGCATACATAATCATGCTTTGCATTGCCAGGTATTTTATAGCACACCAGATTTTCCAACGTTGTCAGACTCTTTATTTCTTTACTGATAAATAGGCATACATCTCACTGCATGTGATGATAAGCCTAGCTGCAGGAGCTACAAGAGTAGAAATCAGAGACCAAACATGACTTTTTTTTGTACCAGTAATCCTATTCTCCATCATCAGGCTAATGCTGGTAGAGAGGCTCTAGACTTACATTGGGGAATTTGAAGAATATAGATTTCTGGAAAACTAAATGTGTCACAGACAGTGGCAGCAGCTACCCTACACTTTACTCAGTGAATGCTGGACTGCTTTGTCTCTGAGAGGAAATAGCTCAATTAATAAATAGCTGTCTGCCTCTCCAAAAATAAGCTCAAATATGCAATTAAAGTGAAAGATTTCCCTTTTGAGGGTGTGGGGAGCTGTTAGATAAAATTATAGGAGGGCCAGATGTGTAAAGTACTGTTATTTAATATATTTTAAAATGAGGATAATTAAAAGATGTGAAACATATAGAGTCTGCCTTTAAAGGGAATGCATTTGTAAGCTCCCCTGCTAACATCTGTATCACTAGGGAGAGTGTAAGGAGTAGCTATGCTACATGGCAGAGAGGTAACTAATTACAGAACATACACACACTTGGATTTCCTTAATATAATAATGAGAATTTATTAAGTAGTGGCAGGGAACAGCAAGCTCAGTGTTGCAATATTATTAGTATTATTTATTTCTATTACAGTGTTGCACATAGGAATGAATGGAAATAGGACTGCCCATAGTGTTGGGTGCTGCATAAGCACAAATTTGGTGATTGACTCCTGCAGCTTAAACACTGCTCTCTGTAGCCATTTCCTGTGGGGTTTAGAGTCCAGCTCTGAGGATAAGTGGAGCAGGTAGTTTTTTCACTTTGACTTGTGGGAATTAAGTTTCCATTAGGTGTGTCAAAGGTTTGACACCAGCAGAGGGATCATGTAGATCTGAGGGTGTACATGAAAGGGTAGAAATAGAAGTTGCATTGGACAAGCAGGGTGGTAGCACAGGCATATAAATGAAACTATTCATAAACCCTAGATGAGGAGGTTGGATTATTGCAAGAACTGCTTATTTCAAGGAAACTTAGAAATCCAAAATTCCTGTGGCTTCCTATGTGTCCTAGAGACTATGAAATACCTAGCAACGTGTCTCTATGATGTAGCCAGTTCCTAATCCTTTCCCTTTTGTCAGGACAGGATTTGTTTTTTCCTCATGGAAAAGAAAGGGATTTGAATAAAAATGAGCTATGGACCAGCCTAGTCCCAGGTGATGGGCAGGAGGCTCAAATTCTTTTGCCCATCTCTGTCCTCTGCTTTGAGAGCACAATGCCATGCTCATGTGGACATGCAGCAGGCTGCCAGCAGAAAAGACTTTGCAGAGGAGCCCCACAGGTTCATTCCCAGCTGCAGCCCTGTCCCACAATCCTTCTACTGTCACCTGCAAAATGAGACACTGTGTAGAATCTCACCTGTGAGGTCACAAAAATATCAGGAAGTTTGCCTGAGACTGAGACATCTGTCAAGGGGAAAAATTTTTATTTAGATGGTATTTCTTTACACTAGGAAGTCTTAGGTCTTTTTCAATCCTACCAATTTGCAGCCTGTGATGTGGATTGTGTAGAGTAATAATTGAGAAAGGAAATCAGAACACATTTAGGTCATTAATGTCACCAGTATTTCTTTGTTTCCAGAGAACACTTGCAGCATTTATTACACTTGCACTTTGCTAATCTAAGAGTCTTCATTATCAGAAAATACTTACAAGCTCAGGATTTTCTTCCCAATGCTTACCTGAAATGCATGCAAAGAAAGAGATTAAGGACAACTATATCCTGATCTTTCCCCAGGACCTTTTCCCTGTTTTCTAAGACTTTTGGCTCAGTAATTTCTGGATTATTTTTTTGTGAAGTTCGTCTGTTTTCTCTCCCATTATATAATTGATTCTATCTACAGTCACTTATAAACACAGCATGTAATGAATGATCTCATTTTTTCTTTATCTTTTTGAACTTGCTGGGTTTATGTTATTCCTTCTATTTTTTTGGAAAAGGCAGCTGGAAGTTGTTCAGCCTTTCACTGTCTCCATGTAATTTATGACATCACAGAGCTTTTTCATATCAATTGTTTCATTTCCAGGCAAGTAAATGAAGTAGTTCCTCAAATGGAGATTATAAGTGTACTTAGAGAGGTATAACACTATCTTGAAATTTACTGTTTGTTTGGGATATGATAGATTTCCTTTGTCACTAATTGGAAAGTATATGTAATTTGGTTTACTTTGAAAAGTCTGCAGTAATCAATATCTTTGGTCAGGATCCAGTAGGGACTCCCTAAAATTCTGGAGTTATCAGCATTGCCTAAGCATGCAGTGCTGTTTGATGGAAATGGTTCAGTTGCCTAAACACAGGTGTGTAGTATGGGAAGTCCTGAGATACCAAAGATAATCATGCAGGAGAAATGAGATGGGGTCTAAAGGGGACCTACGATTCTGGAATCTGCTCTGGCCAGTGAGATAACCCTTTCTCAAGGCCAGTGAGATAACCTAGGACATTTTCATATATTCTTGCTATAATTCTCACTTACAGATAATGATAATTTTCATCCTAATCTATATGAATAGAGGGAGAGTTGCCGTAAGCAAAGGTTTAATGAATCCACATTTGGTAAGCATTGCTGCAATTTCTCTGGATGCTCTTGTGTGGCTTTCTTTGTATGTTCTAATTAAAAGAACATAGAAGCTCTTGAATGTCTTCTTTATTTATGCATCTTTTAATTAGAAAATTCAATAGTTAAGAATTGGGGCATGTGAAGATACAGCCATTTCATCTCCTGCTGTGATCTTGTTATATGTCCCAAATTAATTGATACCAAGCCAACTTAGAGCTTGGATAAAAATGCCGTTAGGGATTAATCCTGGGTGTATTTGCAGGTCAGGCTGATGATTTAATATGTGTCAGCTGTACAGACTGCTGAGCCTTGTGTTTGTTCTTGCCATGTGGCTCCAGACATCCTTGTCCTGGAGATACTCACTCACTAAATACCCTGTGATGCATTTTCCAGAAGAGAAGGTTTTGCTGTGGATGGTCCAGTCCATTTCCAAATGTGACATCCAGAGTCGCTGTCACACCTGTGTCAGTGGGACACACTCTGTTCTGTCACTGCCAAGGCCAGATCCTCTGGGGACAAGAGATCTCTGCCAGCTGAAATGGACACACAACCATCTGGTCCAGTTGGGTTCCACAGATCGTTTCACAGGGGCCATGCTCTACTCCCTACAGACAGGTAATCACATAAATCAGTGGGATCCTTGAGAAAAGTTCTTTTTAAAAGCATATGATGATGTCATTTCCTTAGAGAAGATCACTGTGCCCCAATTTGTGCTTGTAGGAAGGAGAAGCTGCTTACAGCGGTGTTTTGGACACTTTTATCTTTCTGTTGCCATGGATGAGTGAAAAGAACAGATCTCTCCCTGCTGCTGTTTACCTGGAAATAACAAAGATGTGGACAAAAGACTCAGCTGGTTGAATACCCATTTATTCCTGGGAGTGAACTGGTATTTAACCAGCTGTTTGGATGGCTGGAAGAGTAAAAAGGGTCAAAGGGCTGGGGACTCCCACCGGTTCCCAGCCTGTTCAGTTTCTCAACCTTTTCCTTCACTTGCAGCCTGTGAAAAGGAAACACACTGACAAATATCATGAAAGACAGCATAACTCCACAGCAGTTTTCCTGCAGAGAGCTGAAATGAAGTTTTTCACCTTTTCTCCTGTGCTAGCTCAGAAAAGAAGGGCAAAAGAGCCATTGTTTCTGGCAGAGCCAAGACTTTCACCTGCATTCTCCTGACAGTAATTCTGTGTAGCACAAATCAGAAATTATGCAAGAAGAATGCTTTGATACTCTGCTATTTATATGTATGCAATACTAAATGAATTAGAAGCTATCTTAGATGATTATAATGTGTCAGCATCTTGGAAATGATAGAATTAAATGACACCCTTTCTCACAGACACAATACTGAGGAAAAGGCTTGAACATACAAAAAAAAAAGTGGGATCCCCATTTTCTTCAAAGGAGAGAAGGCTCAAAGTAAAGCCCATTGAGGCAAATCCTGCATGATGATTATTACTGCTGTGTGTCTCTCTTAGAGAGCCATGGAGTAATGGGGAGGAGGACTTTATTGCAAATATTGTTTCCTGTCCAGTCCATTTCCCTGGTCTTCTTCTGGTTAGTGTATTCTTCTGAGTTCTGCCTTTGGTCAGCTTCTCATGACATTAAATAAACATTAGATCAAAGTTATCTTTCCCTCTCTCACTCAGATACCTGTAAAAATGACAACTGAAATTTATCAGAAATTCATAGTTGGAGTCTCACCACCAATTTGCACCCACTGATAATCTGATTTTAGTGCTCTTTTTTGAGGTTTTTTTGCTACCTACATTTGATTAGAAATCCCTTTCTTAAAGCCTCTGTAAACATGTGTTCTTTGACTCTATTTTAAATTCTCAGTGGACCAAGAATGTGTCTAATTTGTCCCTGCATAACGTGTCTAGAATAATGCTTTTCAGTGCTGAAATGCTTTATAGAGCATTTTTAAAACCCTTTCTGGAGACACTAATGGAAATTTCCTCCTTGCTACCCAGCATTCCCCTTTCTAAAACTTAAAAAATATTCCAAACAGCATAATGTAGAACATGGATTGTTTAAAATCAGACATATTTTTTTCTTTTTCCTTCCCCCATGTAAAGCAATTTTCTTTTTTAAATGTTTCAAAATTTGCAGCAGTGCAACTCTAACAGGATGTCCTCAGCTATGGAAAACATATGAGCATCTGTATGCTTTCTGACTCAAAGTGTTTTAATTCAATTTTGCTGTACCCTTGATGTGATGAATTCAAGTCATGTAACTATTGAATAAGCATTGGGGACGATGGATGAAGATGGGGAAAAGTAATGTGTCATCAAATGACATATTTTCTTCCACCCTATCTCAATGTCAAGGACATGAAAGGGAATGAATTAGTTTGAACAAATATACTTAGAGATTTGTATTCTGTTATCTGTTGCATTGGTCCTGGTTTGAATTCAGACTGTCAAGGATGCATCCTGGTACAGAACTGAAGATTTACAGGGAAGAGGTGACAGCTGAGGGAGAAGTATGAATAATGGGGCTCTTGGTCACCTCTCTGCCATGTTGCCTTTGTCCAGATTTCCTTTGAAATGATGAAGGATGATCCCAAGACCAGACTGCTGTCACCAGCCAGGGAAGCCCTGCTGCCTGCTCCTCTTCAAGTCACAAAATCCCCGTGTGGTCTTGGGCTAACCACACAGCCAGGCTTGAGGCACAGCCTTGGGAGGTGTGGGGAGTGAATTAGTGCAGTTTAATGCAGGCTGTGTTGGCTGGTCATGTTTGTGCTTTCAGCTACCCCCAGCTCCTGCCCCAGCAGGGACTGGTAGAAGCAGAGCCTGTGTTTTGTGCACTGTCACCATTGCAGAGTTGTCTGTAATGCCATGCTAAACAATAGCTGTGGGTAATAATCTGACAGTATAGTGTGTAATATACAGTCAGAATTATTATCCATTGGTTTTAAAACAAAACTGACAGAAATATAGTTAAAATCATTCTGATTTATTAATTATTCAACAGGACACTTCAGGTGGAGTAAACAAGGGGGCAAACTACATATTTCATCTTTTGAGGGACTGGGGTTTAAATTCTGATTCAAGGAAGAGTCTGGTTGTTTATTATTCATCTTTAGAACCTAGTGCTGCTGTGAATCCTTTCTATGTTGGTTAGTTAACTGGTGTTTTGTATTTCTGATGTATTGATTAAGAGATTAAATTAAATAGCTTCTCTTAGATTAGCAGTTGGTTAGAGCACGGTGTACATAATGCCATGGTTGTGGGATTGATCTCTGTAAGAGCTGGACTGGATCTTTGTGGGTCCCTTCCAACTCAGAATATCCTGTGATTCTGGGAGCAGTGCAGGAGTGAAGGCTGTGTGAGCCTTCTTCTTCTGGAGATGCTGGGGACCCCCATTGGTCTGTGAAGGCAGACTTGGTGTTGTGATGGATGTGCAGTCAATGCAAGAGCCTGCCATGTGTGCCTCCCAAAGTTTGTATGGAAAAGCCTCATAGGAGGCTAGGTAGGGTAAGAGCATGAATCTTTACAGTTTCTGCTTCCAAAGGGTTCAGGAAACAAGTCATGATATAGCAGAGAACTACTGACTGAAGGTAATGTGTGACCACTGCCAAGAAACTCCGTATCTCAACAGCTTTTTCCTCTATGAATTCCCCTGACTGCCCTTCTGAATATGATGTGGGTTCATCTGTGCTTTACAAAGTGCTTTGCAAGTCTCTTCTGAGGTGTACAAATTGCCTGGTATTTGCAGGACACACTGTTGCTTAGTAAGGATCTGACCTTGTGCTACCAACAGCTTTCATTCAAGGCCTCTGTTCACCGGCAGCAGAAGGGACCTGGTTCCAATCCATGCTTGGATCAGACCAGGCTTTCTCAGGGATTTCTTTCCATACCATGTTCAGTGATTATTTTATTGAATAAGTCACCTGGTGCCTCCCTAGAGCTGTTGGGGTTTTTGTTTTGCTCTGCTTTGTTTCATCAGCAGTGACGGATGGGAGTTTTCAACAAAGCTGCTCACAGCAAACTTGTTGAGTTTGCCTGTTCCTCAACACACAGCCAGGAGACATCACTGGGAAAACACCTCTGCCAAGATGCACCTGGACATGCAAACCATATCCAAAGAAAGGGGTGGCCCCAAACAGCTTTCACTGTAGCTTTCAGGAAACCATTTTTTAATGCATGTGAATAAAGGAGGTTCAGGGGAGCATTATCACTCTACAACTCCTGACAGGAGGCTGTAGCCAGCTGCAGGTCAATCTCTTCTCCCAGGTAACAAGTGACAGGACCTGAGGGAAAGGCCTCACATTTTCCCAGTGGATAGATTAGATATTAGATATTAGATTTGATATTAGGAAAAGTTTTTCACTGAAAGGGTGGTCACAGGTTGGAACAGGCTGTCCAGGGAAGTGGTGTAATTACAGCCCCTGGGAGTGTTCACAAATGTGTGGATGTGGTGCTTGGAGATGGGGTGGGTTGGGCAGGGTGGGAGGGCAGGGTTAGTGGTTGGACTCAGTGATCCTAGAGATCTTTTCAGTGCTTTACAATTCTACAGTTCTACAGATTGGGATAGTACCTGGACTCAACATGGCACAAACTTCCCCTCCCTTTTCTCTTTACCTCAAGCCATATCCCATAAGCCAAATTTATCACTCTGCATAATTCTTTTAGGTATTCCATAGGTAAACCCAAACCAAATAGCTCCCTGTATAAAAACAATTGATTTTAATAAATGCAAACATATGATATCTCAGTATATCTTGTGTACTAAGGAGATAACCACAATTATAAGAATATCTGCTTTTTGTCCAGAAGAAACTTACAGACTTATAACTGAAATACCACACTCCTGAAAAAAATAATGATAATAAAAAAATGGCTGAGGTCTCCAAAGTGGAATCAGATTTTAGATATATACTGTATTCAATGGACAGATATCTGATTCTTTCTTGCAAACTTGTAGGCTTGATTTGTAATTATCTGCCAAGTCAAATAATAGGGACAAAGCATATCTGAGAAGAAACTGGATTAGTTGAAAACCATATTTTGTCAAGTCAAAATGATTTCTTTTTTATATATATTTATATTTTTCCCAATGTCTGGAAGGTAAAAACTGAAAAATGACATATATTCACCCAGGAAAACCCTGTGCTCTGCAAAGGCTGCATTTAGCAGCTTACAAAGTGATTACTTCATTCTCTCTCTGGGCTCATTGTGCCATCAGATACTTTTCTATGCCTCCCATGATGGTGTCAGCATCTCTTGCACAGGGGAGCAGTTTTGTCAAGATAAAATATGTGGTATTTTAACAGCACTATTGTGTTCTAAAGAAGTTCATAGCACTGGGTTCTCCCCACCATGCACTGCTGCAGCAGCAGCTGTGGAGTAAAATGGATGAATTTGCTGCTGTGGGGAAAAGTACTTGAGCAGATGGGTGGGATTGCCCCTCACTGAGGTCCCATTTCCCTACTTCAGACTCTGTCCTGCCTTTGCCACCCAGAAATCTGCTCTTGCCACTTCTCATAGCAGCATTCACACCTCTATATCCCATTCAGCTCTCTGCACCTGCAAAAATTTATGTCTTTCTTTTTTGCTGAGGTTGACTCTTCAGCCAAAAAGCTCAGCATTTGCAAACTTCCATAGATGCCTTCACTGTGGTGAAGTGCACTGAGAAATTCTCTTGTTTGCTCCATCATAAATTTCTGAGCTGGGAGAGGCAATAATTCAAAGCCTGTATTTCAGCCTTTTTTTTCTCTATTGAGTTCTGTTATTCTGAGGACTGTCCCAAGACATTGGAGAAAGCAATTTACCTGTGTGCAGTTTTTATTGTGATGAATTGTCCCATGTGTTTTGTGTCAGCTCTTATGCC